TACTTTCAAACAAAAGGCGCTGGAGTCTACCAAAGAAAACTCAAAGAAAGCTTTGATTGGTCGTTCAAAACAAGATCGTTATAGGTTTTCTGCTGGTCATACGAACCTAATTGAATTGGTCCAGTTAAGGTCATAACATCACACGACAACACATCAATACGGTGTGGAACTGAAGTGAGATGCCAACATTATCCATCGTTACAGCCTTGTGCCCTACACCTCCTAAAAACGTTTCGCAGTGGTCAGGAACATAAAGTCCGAATAGCCATGTCGGTGAACTGGACTAGCGGGCCCACTCCACCACAGTGTGCTGTCGAACTGTTCGGTCCAGTGGGATGAAGATCAGCTCAAGCGAGGACGGAAACATAAGCCGATGGTAAGTTGTCAGCATGTGGAAACAAGCGAAACCGATATAAAAGAGTTATGTAAGTGTTGAGGTCTCAAGGTAGGTGAAGCAGTGGTTACAAATGTCTGAGTGATTAGGAAAGACAACCTGAGATATGGCAAGAGTTAAATTACGGCACCGAAAACGCGTCAGTTCATTTTAACGGTAGATCTTGGCAGCGTTTTCGAATGTCCGAGCTCAGTTGATGCGGAGGATCACTGGACGGCCACGTAGCACAGCTAGAGTGTAACACCGATGGCTTAAATGTCTTACGCTGTGTCCAATCGGTAACACTGTCCCTTAGATGAAGATATGACACCTGGGTCAAAACGATCAAACGGAACTTGTGCTGAACCTAGCTTGGTGTGGGTGACACTTTAATTTTGGAAGTTCATGCTATCTGGTAGCAGCCGGCCTTCATTACGACGTCTATAAAGTGCAAAGCTAAAAAACCACCTAATACATTAGTTATGTACATAGCCGTGTTGTCTTTGGAAAATATAACGGCTATTGTAGGTCTTTACAGTCCACCATAAAAATACACATTCTGCATCGTTATTGTTCATAAAAAGTTGAGGTGCATAGTACTCCAGAAATTGAAAACATTTATCCGTTCAATTTATTTGAACCTTTCGCCGAAGGCCTTGTGGGGCCTTGCCACGTAGGACAATTGAATGTCCCAAACCTCCAAACACACTAAACCAAATCCATCATATGCTGCTGTCGACCGTAACTGGGCACTTTCTATTCGTACCACCTGAAACCACTTAGCCATTTAAGAGTAAATCAAAATTGAACACCACGCCAACTAGAAACAAAGTAAGCTAAACCATCCACTTCCACAAGAATGAAGCGTGCATTGTCCTAATTCCCATGAAAGTGTTTAAAACACTGCCGAATACAATAGCGCAATTGAAGCCATAGGTACTGAGTTGACAGGCAATGGTAGACGAACACAATACAGAAGACCAGGGAAAGCTAACGGCCATGATGACATATATTTGATCAGGACATTCAACTTCTACCGACTAGCTTCATCATCACAGCTAGTAAAGGTAACTGGATATCCGGGTTCTCACGCTTCGTGTGTTCTTCGCCAGCCTGCAGCAGTCGTTGGATCGCGCCTTGCCGGGACTGGACGGAGTGTCGCGACACCAGTTGCTGTTGGACCAGTTCGTTGAATGTGTGCAACCCGCGCTTGCTGCCCAGTTGCGGTTGGCACAAGCAACTGGCCAGTTGAGTGTGGAGGAGGTGGTGCGTCTGTCCCGGGAGCTGCCCCAGGAACCACTGGCCACGTTGCAGTCGCAGGAGAACAAAGACGCTGCATCAGTGGAGGAACTGCAGAGCAGGGTGGACCAAATCACCGAACAGCTGGCAGCCGTGAAGACGGAATCGCGGAGGCACGCTCGAACCAGCCGATGCTACGTGTGTGGCAAGCCTGGCCATTGGAAGAATCAGTGTCCCCGTAGCCGATCACGTGTACACAATAAAACTTTAGAGTACTCCTCTTTTCCGGGGTGGGTCGCGATTAGCGCACTGACACAAGCTACCATACAAGCCATTGTCGAGGTAGACAGGAAAAGGGAGCTATGTTTGATTGATACCGGAGCAGGCGTATCGCTGAGGCAAAGAGGGAACCAAGCTGAATACAGACCGTGCGCGCTAGCCGTGATAGCTGTTGGCGGATATCGATTAAAGATTGACGGACTGTCAACGCACTCGATACGCCTGGGCAACAAGTCCGTGCATCACGCGTTCCTGATCAGCCCAGAGGTAGAACAGACAATATTGGGAGCTGATTTTCTCAAGGGCACAGATTCCGTGATTGACCTAAAGCAGGGAAGGCTGGTCACAAGGTATGGCGCAATCAAGCTTGAAGGTTACCCAGGCGCTACCGTGAATGAGCTGTGTGTCCGAAAACTTCCGTCTTGTAATGTATCATCAATACGGGCCGTGGTTGAGGAATATTCCGAACTGTTCACGGGCGATGAGGATCCGTTTGGCTTCTGCCCGCGGATTGAACACGAAATTCCTCTGTCATCAGAACGCTTTCGACCCTATGGCCCCCGTCCGTTGCCGATCCATCTACGGGAGGAGGTCCATAGACAGATTCAGGAAATGTTGAAGAATGGTATAATCGAAGAAGCCAACAGTGCGTACAATTCCCCAGTTGTGCTTGTAAGAAAGGCGAACGGAAAATACAGATTTTGCGTGGATTTCCGGCGCTTGAACGAACTGACCGTAATTCGGTTGCGGAGATTTCCGATTCCCTCCAGCATTTCCGATACTCCATTGTGTCCAATTTGCGTTCCGGATACTGGCAACTCCAGTTTTATTCTTTCGTCCCTTCTTTCTTTCTTTTATTTGATGCCCTAACCAGTATAAGGATGGAGATCTCGTGGCCACAAACCTTTGAGGATGAGGAGCCCCTCTGTTCGTGACATTTCGTATTCACTGACATCCCAGCCAACCTTCCTGTTTTGATCTCAAAACATGCAGTTTTTCACTACGAATCTTGGGATTCCGTCAAAAGTCTCCCTAGAATTGTGAATCATTGGGGTAGCTCCAAATGATACTCCAAACTCCCGAAAAAAAACATAAAATAACACGATCCCCGCCCACAAACACACCAACGGTAAAATACTTTCGTAGTACGAGTATACATATAAGTAAGCGTAGTCTGCGGTCCATTGCAGTGTCACATGCAACATGACAAAATTGGCCTAATTGTTTTCTCAATCGGCCAACGTACAGAAAAGAACGAGTAGATGAACAAACGTTTTGTAAAAGTAGTAAAGGCGACTACCATATTTTCTTTCCGTTTGATTTCTGAACTGACCTCCACCAGTACAGTGCCACAGTTATCAGTCCATTAGTTAATGGGATGTTGGAGAAGAATCAATCAATTCACTTTATCAAGTATAAACCGTTAATGGTTGCAGATGCTAAAATTTCGATCACCGGAAAATGGGAGAGGTTGGCACAAACAGCCAAGTCTTGGAGGCGATGGCTTTGATGCACAAGCACCACTAACTGCATGATTCGGCCATTTCTGCAAGTGTCATTAACCACTGCTGATTAAAGTTCCGGGGTCCCCATCCAGGGAGGCGACAGTTGCCCGCCCGATTCAGCTTACTGGTTAGTGATTTCGTACTTCATTGCCAGTCATACACTGTCCAACGATCGGTCGCTTCCCCTCAGCACAGGGCTGGGCGAAAAGAACTCCGCGAGGTGGACGGTCTACTGGTACGCGGAATTCATGTCCCAACCAGCGCAACGTATGAAGCGTGAGTTATTCATGCATCGCGGAAGAGTTCCTTCTTGCTAAGACCATTTGGCGCACTTCAGCATTACTAATCCGATGTTTCCATCAGATCTGACCAATGCTTCGGAGATACTGATAATCAAACATGTCCACTTTCGTGGGTCCTCTGAGCGCTTCTCTGACACGCTTCTGGTCCATAAAGCAATATGAATCGCACTCCCGCTGTGTAAACTCGGAAATAAATCATTCAATCATCGTTCGATAGCAACATGGACTTCCTTTGGGCCATTACTACGCTGACGTGAGAAAGACACGCAACCCAACAAGGCTAAGGAGCGAAGCAAAATTTCTGTGGACATACTGGAAACTGAGTTGAGTATAAGCGAAATGTTTGCTCGAAACGCCACGAGACAGTGTTTCCGCTGCAGATATTTTTAAGTCATAAATGTTGGATTACCTTTCGGTAGCTCCATCTTTCGACTTACTTTTGGTGATATCAAAGAGTTCTGTTCAGTGTTAAACTCTGAAACATATTTTAATTACGTTGGAAACGAGCAAAAATAACCCAACGTCAAGTATGGGGTATTTTGCACAAGTTGTATGTGGCATCGGATTATAATCCCGAATGACAAAGTTCAGGTACGCGACATTATGCGAAATTCCAGCAGATATCGCGTCAGAACGATCGACTGAAGTGCGTGATTGGGGCTTTGCTACACCTCAAAGCCCGTAATCCAACAGTACATGTTACCTGGTGTGACAAGGTCGCACATTAATTTCAGTCATGGGGAACGTGAAGTGAACAATCATATATATGTTTACGTTCTCTCAGGAATTTGAAACACATCACCGTGTGCATACCAGTGGTCAATGAGGTAATGTGCGAATCTTTACGAATAATGAACATGATAGCCGATATGACGGGACACTGAAAATGAAAGGCTTCTAGGAACCTTACGATAGGTTTCCGTCCTATGTTGATTGGGTGTTAAACGCAATGGCGCTGGTTGGTAAGATGATCACCAACCAGCGGCTTAGAAGCAACATGTTGATAAATCATTAGTGACGAAGGTGCACTTCCTGGCGAGCCGCATGAATTCCCCGTTCATCGGATAAGGCAAAGGTTCGGTAACTGAGTATGAGTTTTTGAGTAGACCAAAGCGTGTTCGACATTCATGTGTTCACATCAGCCGAACATGTCAAGTTGCTTGGTAGGACTGCGAGGGAAACTTCATCTCATGGGATATGTTCATAAACCATAATAACTAGCAGTAAAACGATCAGGTGAAAGGTTCAAGTACACATACTCAGTAGCCCTGGTGGAAACAACAATCAGTGCGTAACACTTACCCTCAGGAGAAAGTCGAGACTGCACAATAGTCGACGCTTCAGACGTTCACGTCTTTCTTTTAAAACGTCGCCGTCTGTCATTGTGGTATCTAATACCGTTGATGTATTTGCCTCTGAACCGTTCGGAGAGCTCAACAGATACTGTTCGGTCACCTGGATGTCTGCATGGCCGGAGGATTGGCGACTGGACACATGAGTAATGTTACCGGCGCTGTCCAAGGAGTACTGCCCGTGGGTTCGTTGAGAGCGTCGAAGCTTGGTGAAATGTTTCTCTCGCTCCACACGCAAATGAGCCAGACGCCTATCCTGCTGCGCTCGGCATCTGGCTAGTCTTTGTTGCCGAGCGGAACGACGGCGTTGACCGGAGACCGATAGGTTTGATCGGCGCCATCGAGTTGTACTCCGAGCGGACTGAATCATTCGAGAGCCTGTAACACGAGTCCTCCGATTTTCGCTTCGTCGTGATCCATTACCACGAGAACGACTGGCGACGGTGACACGTCTAGTTTGGTTTGGATTCGCAGCTGCTCCTTCAGTTGCCACGTTACGCCTGTGTCTTCGTCGATGTTGTCTGTGCCACCACCCAATGTCAACATCGATATTCTGGGACCATTCGGACTCCTCAGAAGTGCCACTCTGGTCTTCATTTTCATCGGATAGAACAGCGGCTTCTTCATCCATTAGATGATTTAGGTTGGCCGACATAGCCTGAGCCGAATCTATTGACTGACTGGGCGCAAAGTTCGTATTCACTGTTTCAGGTGCAGTAGTATCACCCTGAACAGAGGTAAAAATTAGACAAATGGAATCATCTCAGGATAAAGAGACGAGCCATCAGTGCACGTAAACCTATTTAGTTAGGGATTCGACCATACTTATATTTGATATGAAGTAGCAAATCCTGCAAGTCCTGCACAGTAAGAACACTGTGACATTAGGAAGTCGTACATTCACTTACGGATGCCAATGGTAACGAAGAATTCGCAGAATTCAAAACAGCTGGATTTTCTACACCTGGTTGTCCGGTAGCCTCGATGCAATCCTTTCTACTCAGGGTCTCAAGCGACGAGGTTTGAGATAAGGTACCCGATTCGATCAGGGAAAATAGTCCGGGACAGACTGCCGGCTGCATAAAAACACACTGGTCCGGATTGGAAACCGAGGTGATGAACTGGATAAAGGATCCCAATGAAACAGAAAATTCAGGTCAGTTGGGTGTGTTTATCAGACGGGGTGAGTAAGCCAAAACAAGGTGGTCAGTTCAGTTGGAAGACGTACATGGAAACCACTGGTTCAGATAGTTAGGTGGTAAAATGAAAAGATTTTGCCAAACTAAGGAGGCACCTCCTGCGTTAACGGTCAAAGATGCCTGTTATCTATCCACATATCCGTCTACTACTGTCCCGTCTACCTATTATGGTTATGTTAATAGTGGGGGCACGTATTAGAACCGACGACCTAACAAGTTCTTTGTCGACAGTACTGGTGAAGGGATGCTGCATGGATATCCCATAATTTTCTACCAGTATAAAGACTAGAGCAGCCATTCACTGTTGACAGCTTAGACGAAAAAATGCAACAAACCATTACCTCTAACCCCATATGTGTTCCGTCAAGGTCGCCGTCCAGACAGGGGCACCGGCAGGGCGTCCAGGCCAAGTTGGCAGGTCTGGAACTCGTCTCGGTATCGCTTTTAGCTTGTGCATGGTCAATCCCAAACATCTACGTGAGAGGCAAACACGGCGACTCAACGGATGCAGCATGTAAACTCCTATACTACCAACACGCTTTTGAACCCCAGAGAGCGTAAGATCTATCCTATAAACGCCGAAAGAACGCCTATCGCCACATGTGGATTTACCTTCCAACCTAATTTTACAACAACTTTTAGAATGGTCCTCCGCAACCCTAAGAAAGAACACTCAAGGTACAAAGGGCATTTAATAGCTATTATTCGCATGCGCTAATTTGTGAATGACAGCCGGAACCTCGGGCTCAACAAATTTGCTACCAACGGAATTGCAAACAGTTCATCTCTGTAGCATACTTAAACTCAGGAGGTAGTGTTAGCATGCACAAACCGTTCATCTCAAGCACTGTGATAGAATGACCTTCCGTTCATCCATCCTAGTAGTCCAATTGCGAAATTAAAGCAACTAATACAATCAAACTTCACTGATAAAGTTTGCCCACGCGTTATGTCTGAACAGTCGCTGATGTTCAGATGGTACGCCTAAAGGGGAAAAATCATGCGTATGCTGTGACCGGCGAAAATCAAGCAAATGAGCTTCAAGTTATCAAGCGAACAGATTAAGAAGTCAGTGTATTTAAGAGAGAGAGAAGGAGAGAGGAAACACTGACTTCATCTCCAAAAGTGACACGAGAATCACCGTTGCCAACGAAAAACTTGAACTCTTCTTCATATAGTGATTTTTGTTCCTCGAGGCGATATCTAGGATAAAAAGAGATGAAAACAGGGGTAAAGCTAGAAAAATAGTAGTGAAAAAGGATGCACTGCTTAGTGGCCACGGGATTTCACTGCTTTCTAAAGCCAAAGAAAGGACGGCTAACAAAACAGTCTAGAGAGCAAGTTAATCCTCCGAGTTAGTAGTGAGATCTTGATTGCAAAAAGCAAAATTGATAGATTGATGATACACTATTCGCCCTCTAAAACGATTCTCTGGAAACAGAACAAACAACGCCACACTAAAGAAATGATCCTATTTAGGGTAGTTCAACCCTTAGAACCAGAGCAGTACAGTTTCATGCACGGCCATATTCGAGAGTGGACAGTTTGATAAACAGAATGTGGCGAGACGATCCTACGCGATTTCGCAGCCCACATTACTGCAGACTATTGACATATATCTGAAGTCGGTGCCCGTTACTCTGCAAAGTAATTTCACTTTTATGTATCTAAAATGGCATCAGGAATGTCAGCTTCCTGAAAGCAGCCACTGAATGCCCGATATCTACCGAGACTCTTAACTCCGCTAGATGTTGACCAGAGAGACCAGACACCCCCTCAACACGCAGCGCGCCACAGCCTTATATCAAACCCAGACAACAAGAGTCAGTGTTGATCAAGGTCAGACAACGCCCCCGCAATATGCAGCACATCACAGCCTCGTACCAAAGCCAGACCGTGTGCGTCAGCATTGGACTAAGTTCAGACAGCGTCCTTCCAATAAATAGCTTGAGACCGTCGTACTTTTCGCACTCGCACTCACGCTCTCGTACTCGCATGTTCGGAATATAGCTGTTGTGTTTCCTTCTGAGTCTTTTTTCGGCAACTAGGCAAGCGGGTCAGCAGCAGATACCTCAGATTGGTGCATCAGCAGATATAACAAATGGGCACCGACTACTTGAGCCAACGATTTCGGCTTGAAGGCTGGGTTGCTGAGCATATTTCTCTCACTTAAATCGACTTCAAGATATCAAAAAAGTGAAAACGAAGCGCAAGCAAAGTTCCTTACCAACACGTCCAACAGCGATCATAATGAGTCACCCGCACTCAATTCTTATTGAAAAAGATGCGCCTCCGTAGTATAGCAGAAAAACCTCCGATGGGGGCTGACAACTGCTATTAATCGCCCCCAACATGCGCACTTGATTAACAAAACTTGGATTCCCTGTGGTTGTATTCACTACCTTTCGTGTGGGTTTTAGAGACATTGCAGCACATTGACAGCTAGACTGGATTCGTTAGTTGGCTGGTCAACTGAGATTACAAGCTGGTTGGAAAATGTTCCTTCACTATTGGCGGAGGTATCATCAATGCATTGTTGAAGTTGAGCACGGACAAGGTCTCCTTGAGTGGTAACGAAACGTGTGCAAAGTACGAATGCTCAAGCTATCCAATAGCCCCTTATATGTATACTTAGGTGATGAACGTCATGAGGGTCGTCAGATCCTGAAATCTGGGTTAGTACAACCGCGCACAGACCTAAACACGCACGAACTTAAGACAACAGCTGAAACGGTTGTATCACAGAGCAGGAAATGCTTGAGCAAGACAAAAATGAGCAACTGGGTCAGGTATCACACTGCTTACTTTAACTCCGTGGCGGAAAGTGGCTGGATTAGTGGAGTTAGGGGATTCAACCAAACCGACTGCCACAGATAGTGCTTTCCCTGAATGGCGTGTGTTCTTGACTGCAGTGGGCTTGGGCAATAATCAGCAGGCACCTCAGAACAAAACTGTATGTCATCAATAACCATATCTTCCCCGACTGAAAGTGAAGAACAAATATTCAGTCTATTCCAACGGGATTGTTAGCAAGGATGGTGTTGCTAAGTGGATGGACAGGAAATGATCGAAACTCAATGGAGTATGTAACAGCGAAGTTGTTACGATCGATGTACCGCGAAAATGAGCATCCATCCGATATGTAAACACCTAAGGAAAAACTAGTAAACGGTAAAGAGCGTCACAGTTTAGATTCCACTTTCTGCTACCGATTCCCGGGACGCTGCTTCAAAACTAAGATGCTTACTAAGGGAAGAAAATGTTTGACACACAAAATCCGGATAAGCACTAAAATTTCTAAATGATGAGATATGTGAGATGAAAGTTTGTACTTCGAAAACAAATAAGAAGTCAAGCTAACTGTGCCAATCTATTGGTGATTACAGCCAAAGGACGCACTAGGACTGGGATACTATCAGGCTGCTCAGGCCGCTAGAGGCGGACCAGAAGCATGGACAGACAGACATCTCAAACCTGACTGATCTTGGTTATCAGGCCAGAGCGACTTGAGTGTACTTCAGCCCACGTAATCCTTGTAGATGGCATAGTAGCTAGGCACTAGAAGGCAAAATGATGACCAAGACGACTCATCCAGGATAGTAAAAATAAAAAGCGAGTTAGTTGGCATTCGTATCACGAGACCCGTAAGATAGGCTGGATCAGAGAAAAACATAGGAAGCAAGGCTTAGCGCTATAGTGACTAGAGAATGCCGACCCTACTTGACCAGTGATATATTTATAGCCAGAAACTCCCACCAAGGTAAATATCAAGTGTTTTATATCATTCGAAACAGCAAATCAAGTTAGTAATGCTGGAATGGAATGGTGAGGTCGAGTGACACCACTCCAAGATAACAAAGTCGTTCCCAGAACAGCATACAAATTCCTCCACATTTGTACGATATACCTCTACCGAACGATTTATCAGCGAAGAAATATCGAAAATCTGGGTGAAAATGAGAAGGCCCACAAATAAGACGTAAAGAATCCATATGCACAACTTTTCAGGCCTACTTCAACCGACCAGGGGCGAATTTATGATGCAGTTCGAAGAAGCTCTGGAGAAACACGTTTGGTAAACTTCACATATAGGAAAGTCAACGAAGTTAGGAGGCTTCTAGCCGTACTTCAGATAGGAACTCAGCAGAACATGGCTGTTTACGACATCCACAGCTGGTAGCAGTTCTAATAATACTACCAATAATTATATGGGTTATTTCCCAACTTGTAGGGAATACAGCAAACGTGCCGTCCCAACCCATAGGCTATCAACAGTTCTCGGTAGACGTACCGATCCTCTATAAAACTAACAGTTGCCGTCTAACATCACTGAAGCTAATTCAAGTTTCCTTAAATGAACCTTCGCTAGACGAAAAGCCTATGAGACAGTCTCGGAATACATGGAGCACCTCCATGTTTGTTCGGGGTATCAGATGATAATGAGATAAGTGTTGTTTTCCAAACACAGGAAGATAGCTTGATTGAGGCGCTCAGCAAGCCTGCATGGAACTGAAGACTAGGTTGTGACAAAGATCCAGAAATACAACATACGCTCATCATCGGCTGTTACAGATGGGAGTAGGTCTGGGGGCCGATGTAAGTGGTTTCGTCCTGGAACTGCTCGCTGGTATTCGAGGCATAATGGAACCCCACGCAGCGTGGTCAAGTAAGGGGGCGGGAGCCGATGGAACGGAACGCGGCTTGGTGCATGGATAACTTCAAAACATACTCCAACTGGTGGTCGATAGACAGAATTGGCGCGCCCACCAAGTCCTCGCACACTAGATGGTGTTGTCTGCTGAGTTGAAGAGGATCTCGTTGGAATGGAAGCTACGCGACTTTCAGGATTCGGTCTTGTGCTTCTACCGTTGCGATCGTAACGTGCTCCAACGAGCCCGAGAACAGACTGTGGAGCTGCAGGAGATCCAAGCGCAAGTGTCGTTTGGACAGTCTGAACATCTTCAGTCTCCATCGTGACTTCCCTCCACTCCGCAGTGTCCAATTCCCAGTGGAAAAACTGTTCATCCACCGCATACATATCAGAGTCAAGATCAATCTGGTAAAACAAGAGTACAAAAAAGAGTGAAACTAATGATTCGCGACGTATAAAGGTAAAACAACGGATAGGAACGATGTGCACGACTGCCCGGCCGGTATCGATATGATGAACAATATTAGTGTCAGTCATCAAGACGACCTTTGTACTTTCATTCCCCGCTCAAAGCGTTCTCTTGTCTGAGCCTGCTGTTTACTGCGTCTACCTCAGACTCGATATGTATGTGTAATTACTCATGAACTTTTAACCCTTGACATGTCGAACCAATATAGTCAGCCATCTTTTACGCGCGTTTTTTGACCAGTTTGCGTTACCGCGTGTTGTGCGCAGGCATGTTGCTAATTAGGATCGATTTGCCGTCTTCCCTGGGCTCTCTTTGAACTTGCACTACTTTGTGCAACAATTTAGATGGAAAACCTCATAATCTGAAATTGGTATCCCTTTTATTACGCATTTTATACACGTAATACCGCATTTCATTGACAAATCTCAAGAATCCACAATTTCTGGCTTGCGATTTTACGCGTCACTCAAGTGGACTTTCCTTGATACGTCCAAGCATTCTACAACCTTCTGTTTGTATTCTGAAGGTAACAAGAAACGTGGCCAGCGAGGACGCAAACAAGCGTAATTTAACTCGATATAACACCACTTGTACGGATGAAGAAAGCTTGTGGATAGCCCAACACCATGTTCGTCCCTCTTGAAACCCATTGATCAGGCCTCGTGTTTGAACACTAAAATGGACACACGTGTAGCTGAATGTGTAGCGACCCAGTCACCCACATACTTGACTGTTCAACTCACAGTCGCTCACTGGATCGCGAGGCTTGTCTTTTTTTTTCATACGCACAAACACGTCGCATTAAGCTGACTCATCGGACATCGATTGTCTGCACCGCCTAGTCAGCGTAGCAACCACTCATGTGCCGACGCGCCCGCGTACACGCACTGGGACCTACATAAAGGGAAACCGAACCCAGTCAGGACACAGACTCGCGCGCGCGCAGGGAGCAAGCACTCCAAGTCCACGGACAATCATGGAACACGTGTAGCAGCCAAACTGCGGAGAAAACACGTTACCGCCGTCCGGACTTTCACCAAGGAACTCTCACATACGATAAGTTCCTTTTTGACTTGCTCCCATTTCGCATTGTATTTATTTTTATACGCGTTGCAAACCTCCACTGTCCACCATATTAAAAACTTCTATTAGTACACATACACCTTCTGATTTGTATTACGGCTACCACCACCTGTGCACTAATAAATGCTCGCTTGAAAAGACTGTTAACTGGGAACTCAAGTGAGCCCCAATCTCTCGTTCATGATACTCCATAACTGTGCTGCACTAAGGTCGCCCCATATTCCTCGGAACGATAAGTCTCCTTCTTATTCGTGAATTAAACCCTGTTGAGAAGTTCATTCCATGGACATTCCGGACCCGGACGTTCGTGCCTCGAATATTTCGGCTCATAGTGCCAAGACCTTACGAAACAGCTATAAAATGCCTTAGAAGTTTTCCAGAAGAAGCAGCTGAAAAAATAGAAGTATCCTGTGACAAAAGGAATTGTCTCATGTTTGGCTGGACAAACGTTTCAACCAGGTAAAGAGTGATAACAGGGACTGCATTTTAATTTGCTTGGAGAATAAATGAATGAAAGTAGACAAGGGAAGTGATAGTTTGTTGTTCAAAGGAATAACAAAAAGAATTTCAACCTTGTCCTTCCAAGTACTAAAGCAAGGCAAGCCAACATCTAAACTACAAACAGTTGTGGAAACCCCATATGAAAATAACGAAAAGCTGTTCAGTGTGGCTCGCTGAACACAATCTAAGCAAAAGATAATATTGTTTAGACGTATGAGTGTTTCCAACAATTGTCCACACAACTACAAAGTACTGGAATATTTGCGGAAAAATTATACCCTTGAGTTAACTCATGTATACTCAAGGCGATGGATCGCATGTTTGCTGCGACATTTGTCAGGCTTTACACCGATCACCCACCGAAACACAAACAGCGACCGAATGAGTGCTGGAGAGTAGAGCATAAACTCACATGACTGACAGCTGGTCAGATTAGGAGGACGGGGCGGTCCATGTAAACAGGCACTGAGTCACCAATCGTAAAACATCATGCTTCTTAGTGAAGCTTGAAATCCTAGGCCATTTGATAAAAACTCTAGGACCATTCTGTATCACCATTCGATCAAGACATTCAGCTATGACACCAAATGTGTTAAATGAAGAACCGAAAAGGTGTTTACCAGAAAAGAAAACAAATTCCCAACTGAAAGAATGTTGGCTAACTCGGAGACATGAAATTCAGCCCCATATACGTCCTTACTGTGACAATAGAAAAAAACAAACGTACCATAGAAGGATTTCTAGACATTTCCAATTGGGGTCGAGTACGACTACCGTTCGAAGCATTCGTGCCGAAAACAGACAATAAACCCGATTTCGTGACCACAAGAAAACCGGTTCCCTCAGATGCGGGGAAAGCACGACAAGCCGTAATGCGCTGATGTCTGAAGGGTGTCGGTGGAATCGGACGCTGCGATTGGGATTGAGTGGAGCCTGGAGTTAGGAGTGGTACGTCGCGTCCACCCTGACTCATGGAAGCACGTACACTGAAAACTGACTGAGCTACGTGGGTTTGCTCCCTCTGAGTTCGTCTATGGATTGCTGAGTTCTGCCAAATGGGTAGATTGTCGCTGGGCTCAAACGGATGCCAAATGAGACCGTGATCTGGATCGACCTCCGATGGTGGATAACGATAATAACACAGTAAAGGAGACGACAGGGAAGAATCAACTGGTGTGAATATGTCTGAATTTGACGAATCATTGGACATAATATCGTGATGCTGTTTGATATTCCAAACTTGGAAACGCCCATCCACGCCTCCGGTTGCTAGAAATTCATCGTCCAGAGGTGATGGGGACATGGCATGGACAGCGCCTTCATGGGCCTGGTAAAGTAAAGGATAGAAAGTCAACTGAACTGAAGCGTAAGCAACCAGTGGACAAACAGGAATACTTTCAAAAATACCGGTCCAGGAAGGGACCGATGGAGTGAGATCAGTCGGTACCTCCATGCTCGTTGACATTCTGGAAAACCTCTAAATTTTCGGAAGGTGTGTCCACGTGAACAGTTGTATCATTTAAATTAAGGGCATTATTTTAAATTTGGAGCTGTCGAAATTTCATAAGGTAATTTTGAAAACGCACAGAGGCCAGTCGCAAAGTGCTATGTAGAAACCTAGCGCCTAGTTTTTATGTTCAGAGCCATACATCGCATCCGCTACCAATTCGCAGGTTAAATCCATTTTCAACCGTATTGAATATTTAAAAAAAAAGCCCGAAAACGATTGCGGAGACACCGTTTCAGTAAAGTCTGGAAAAAAAATCAGTAGGCCTCTTACTGAGTAGTGTTATGCTTTTCACACAAGGTATCCGCAAGTCGAAATGTTGGTCGAGTGGTAAACAGATAGAGAGCCAATCGACTAGCTTCCCTAACTAGATCAGAGCTGGCTTTTGCTTGTAATTATTTTGGCATGCGTTAGGTCAGTTATTTAGATTAACAGATTGTACACAATACCGTTACGGACTGAAGCATGTTTCATCGGATTCAGTGAAATTCACCTAACGACTGCTATTGAGACTCTTGCTGATCTATATGAGTGAGTAATTGTTATGACTTATGGATTATACGATGACATGTGGGATTAGCTTCGTTCCTGAATAACAGTCGCACCACGAAACGACAACTCGGTCGATCTGAGACTGTCCTTGAAAATACTCGCGATTTCGACTCTCTTTATTGACATTTAGATCTACGACGATTTCTACTACCCAGCCTAGCAGTAACTTTGGTGCGAATCTTAGTACCTGACTCAAAACCCACGTTTTCCAAATCTATCGTGCACGCCCAACCACCGCTCTTTAAACAATGCTCGACCTTTATCTCTGTTTCTTGTGTCCACCAGTGTGTGCCTCACCGGCCTTCAACTGCGCCATTAATCAGCTTACTTTTTCATAGAATTGAAGACGTCCTAATCTGCTCCTATCGGAAAAGAATAAATGCATGCTGAGGAGTATAGAGAGTACGGTCAGAAAATTAACAAAAGCAGGGTAAGAAGGTAAGTCGTGGATTTAAGCATTCAGCTGCACATTGAAATGTCGGTGACGGGAGACTCAAATGGAGATTTCACTTATGACATTCAATCGAAACGGTGTGTGAAGACTACATCCCGTTTCGCTTGAACTGATATCCTCTTGAAAACCGACGTGTTAATCTAATGCACCACTACTTACTGTGAACACAGTTCGCTGATCGTTGTTTCCCACCCCGAAAATATGACACAGTGGTAACTGATAGAAATGAGTAATAGAGTGATGGAGCAGCCGCGCTTATGCAATCTTATTTCCCAAGTCTCCGGAACAGCTATCTCAATTATTCGAAAAATATTGGATTATCTGTTTCAGCCGAAGTGTTGTTCGAGCTGCTGATATTAAGCGCTCCCATCAAATCAGTGGTAGTTTGGGAGAATGCCAACCTATTTGAAAGATTGGGTACAACTAAACACTAGAAATCCAACAAACTTGGTGGACTACAAGAGGTGGGAAAGTTGACAAAACTAGTGACCTGCAAACAAGTTCAGCGTAGTTTTCGCTTCAGTTTTCAGATAAACCACTTGAAATAGAAAAGGGAAGGCAGACGGACTAATCTCCTGCTTGGTTATTCATGTGGTACAATGGTAGAAAAAAGGCTCCTCCTCGGATCCATATACCAATGTTAAAAACGCAGATACGCTGTAATCCGACTCACTTCAATTATAGTGTACAGGTGGCCACTATCTCCGAGGTAGACATACACTGATCCGTTTTTCATTGAGGCAATCAAATACCGGTCGTTCTTCGACCAAGTCAGTAAACACGGGCGACATTTGATGCTATTACAAACCATGAAAAAATAAGACAGGATATGTAATCTAGCAAAGTATCCAGGCTAAAATTTTCACAACGTTGAAACCTGCAAAAGTAACTTAGAGTAACTTAGAGATGGAAACGCTATATCGAGGGAGAGAAGGATGGACCGCACACCGCCAATGCGACCGTAGAAATCAAGCCGTATTCAGCATTTTTTAAATAAACCTAACTGTCGTGGCAGTTGAACTCAGAGTCGATTTTACGTATCGAAAAACCTGGGCTATCTCCACATTGAATAGCCGCTGTTGCGCGCAAAGAAGTCGCGCTTCAAGCTAGCTACTTGCGATGTACTGATCGGGATACACAACACCACAGCTCTGTGTGGCCTGGTACTGACAACTCCTTGGAACCATTGAGTACAAGCCAATGAGTTTCGTGCAGCCATTTCGTCAGATACTTCCACCGGAGCTAGTCAATACTTAACCACGTAAAACGGTTCTCGACATTTGATGCCTTGCCTTGAATATCAGGGACTGTCTCGAATGTGTTGGTCTTTGAATCAAGGTTGGTCTAATTTTGCAAGACTACATCTAGTTAAAAACATTCATTTTATCGTCCAAAGCCAAGATAAGCTGATTAACTATCCATTGCGTTTCACGTAATGCAGAAACGTATGAAAGTTGGAGAAACCAACAAGACGCTCTTTTTCAATGCGAACTTTACTGTTAATTTATCAACAGCCACAGACAGATGACTATCACAGCTGATGAGAAATATGTTAACATCGAAATTAGCCTCAACAAAGAGCCCTTCATACATGCCAATGCGACGACTTGAGCTAGCTAAGGATCTCGACATTTTGGCAAGAACTATCACTGAAATCCTCATCTATGCACAAGACACAGATGACCGATCGAAAAGCAATTCTTATATGGTTATCTTAGTCTCGGGAGATCACCTGAATTGTTCATCTAATAATTGTGTTTTTGGGAAAAGTAATCACGGGAGTCAGAAGAAGCGGTCTCCTCTGAAGATATACCTCTTAGCGACGGGGATAACAGACAGTCATCTGGAGATCTAATTCTCTGGATGTCTAATTCTCTGGAAAGAAAGTGGGAGCACGTTTTCTAACCTTAAACATCGACTTGTAAGTTGGCATATCGTTATATAGGCCTGAGAGCTTTCAGTGCATAACTGAAGCATAGGGCATCCATAACCATAGGGGATCAACAGCAATGTGCATCCTGAAAAATCCGAGAGAATGCGAACCCTCATAGTAGCCGAGCTACAATTGGTTATTCAGCAGTGTGATTAACTGGCATACAAACAGGACACGGCGCCGCCCATTCCCCAATAGTGTAGATGCACATCACGTAATCTGGCACCAACTGGCTCCTCATTTTGCAAGAGGTCTACATGAATTTTTGAGATTTTATTTTGTAAGTGGCGGAACCATTTTAAAATCGTGACTCGACTTTATTTCAAAATAATGCGTTTATATGAGTTTGTATACGTTCGAACTGCATATGCCTCGTCAAGATTAGCAATGACTGTTACCCACGCTTGACAGCACGGTACCCACACTTCGCTGTGTATGAATTGTAAGGTTACTCGAATAAGAAAGATCCGGATTCATTTTAATTATACCACTAATTAAATGTGAGTGGCGAAAACACAAAGTAGTGTGAAAATAAATTTTCCAAAAATACACGCAGCGAGGTGCAAATTCATCCGAACAAAGTGCTTTGAAAATGTAGGCTACTACGACAGATCACAAAGAGAACAATGGGACTGCTGAAGATGTATAGAGGCTCGAAAACAATAAAATGACGAAAGGCCTAGTGTGGAAAACGGTTTACCGTTTGCGAAAACTCAGCACCATACTACGCCACTTCCCGGCTTGAAAACGCCAGAGCCAACAGCTTCCACCGTCCGAACTGCCAGAGGCCAATTTTAGTCCAGAATGGCTGAATGCCACACTATTGACGCTCTCCTGCAACAGAACGTGAGATCACAGTAGTCTAGAAGGGGGTTAAAGGTCAACGAAAAGTCAAGCACAGGTTCGGTAAAATTATTTAGTGGCCCCCATTGGTCGCGGCGGTTACGTTCAACCCTTGCAAATCAAAGATCCCCCAAACATGGGTGCCACCAACTGAAATGCTCTTCATACGGCTGAGACCTAGGTTGTCCGACTATGCTACTTGAATTCGTTCTAAGCACAAACTGACACAAAATAATCAGTTGAAAGCAAATGAGATGGCTTTCGTGAAGACATGTAGGGGCTGAGTTCATCAGGAACCCAGAAAATGCTGGTCCTCCTTAACTTCGAATCTAGAGTGATGAACTTTCGTATCACAAAGGTTCCGGATAGCATCTTCTTGCAGAACAAATCCATCCCGTGCATGTTCTGATATACACACTTTAATAAACGTCCTAAGGATCTCATGATTATTCTTGGTCATTCCCACATCCGCTGACGCTGCTTCACCACATAGCTTGCGCCAAAGAGCTGTAATCTCACGTGAAGTCCGTCAAATCGGCTTTTGCCACCCTGAATTTCAAGGTTGGTGGTTCTGAGTGGGGGGCTGTCAGAGACAAACGTTTTCGCCCATTCCACCATGACGACCTGTTTAGCCTTCAATTTGTACTACACTACCGTTCAGCTATAACAACCTTTCGGTGCATAACTGCCATGCCACCCTAAAGAAGCCCGACAGCAGGGATACTTCCAGATCGCCCAAGCCTAAACAGGAGTAGCCGGGATGTTGAGGCTGGGTTCGAACCACAGATCTTCCGGTCAGTAAGTTCGCGCCTTTAACACTGAACCATATCAAGCCACCTGAGCTAGTAGTCGGGAACGCGAAAAGCAGCCATAGGTATTCAGACGACGGTGACGGGAGACTCTAGAGTAAAGAACTCTAACGTTTATGGACAACTCCGCCAGGTTGCAAAAAAGCTCGCTGGAACGCGTTCCTCTATGAGTGGACTGAAAATATGACGTGCGAAGTTCACCCAAGTAGAAGATAAACGACAGTGGTGAATGCACACTTGAAGATAGAGTTGTTGCGTATTATCTTGGGGAGTCACTCGGCCACCAGGCAAAAGCACACAAAAGTTTCACTAACATGATGCTAAGCGATGCAATCAAATGATTACGCGTTATTGAAAGCAGGTGGAGATAAACTCACCTCATGTGCTCGAAGCGTAAAAGAAGGTGTGGGCTTTGATGGAGACAGAAAATGGTACAAGCGGATATACTGATCTGAGCAACCAGTGGCCAACAGAAGGTTACCTGAGACAACGAAGAGTTAAAAGGAAAAAAATAAGCAATGAGGGGATAAGTGAATAGTAATATTTTGGTTGGCAGACAACCACGAGTAGAGGGGCAAGAAGATATAAATCTAAAGAAAGATGCAGGTCGACCGATCTCATTTCACCTCAAAGGTCTTGTGCATATATCTTTGTTTTTTATCAACTGCCATTTCTAACGATCTGAGTGAACATTGATTGCCTGTATCAAATCTTCGGCTGACAAAGGCAAGACAGTTTTTGCCGTTCTATAAAAACGGAACGAAGACAATGAATATTTTCATACTGTGAAAAAAGAGATGGCGGTGAATGCAACTGAAGAGATGACAACAGGTCGTCGTCAGTGGAAAGCGTTTCGTTGTATTATTACTGGTCACGGTTATGGACAGCCTCAAGATGGAACCAATAATGTACATTTTCTTCCCGAAACCTCCATTAGGACGGAATGTGCATGAACTGTAAGTGCCCCTTTTAGGCAAACTAGATTTCGGTTCGCTTAGTCGAAAAGACGTTTGCAAACCTCAGCAACCCATTGAGCTTAGCAAGAGGACGACAAAGGTTTTCCTACCGCGCTGAGCAATGCAGGGACACATGATAAACACACAAGAACGGTCTCCTGGACCTTCAGGATGGGGTTAGAACAAGGTGAGACTATAGTTTTACACCCACCACGGCTGCATTGTGTTCAGAAGTTTGAGCCAAAAACTCTGGTTGAGGACCTTAACAGTCCTGTGTAAGCTTGAGTACCTTGTAGTATTTCAGCCACTACACAACCATTATGTAAGTATTTACTACTTGTGGATTGTCGCCAGTAGTGATGACGATGATGATGGCAGTGGTGGTGGTGACGATGATGAGATGAACTCACTCAGTTTAATTACATACAACCCAAAAATCGACATACAGACTATAGTCGACCAGTTACCGCATTGCAAAAATATGATGGCTAAAAGAATGAGCGCACTACTTTCTGATACAAGAGTCAGCTACTGGACATCCAACGACTACAAATCGGGGCTCCCTGCAAACTAAATCCTCACGCACTCTATTAGGAACCGAATATTTGCCAAATAATGGACACGAAAATTGTAATACTTCTCCGAAGGATTCGACATCACAATGGCGAGGCGAAAATTTCCCTAATCTGGATGGCTATCCGCAAATCAGTTAGGAACTAAATAGAAGCTAAGCAGCAGACTCCCCGCCAGCACAAAACAGCAACAAAAACCTTGAGAGCCAATCACTACACTCTTCGATATTACAGTCAATACGGGCAATGTCTTGTCTGTACCCCTGTGAACACAGGGCAAATTCAGCGTTTGTATTCGAACGACACCAAAGTGGAAAACGGTGACCTCAGAAACGAAAGGTGATTCATAGAACAGGACATACCGGGACTGATATCCATACACACGACCGATGGCCAAAACGCAGTGGGAGTACCTTCGACCCCAGTGATGAACCGAATAGTAGGTAGCAGTTTTACGCTACAACACACCCAACGATTGGAACCAGTTGCCACGCCGAAATCCGCATGAAGTTCATGCTGATAGGGCAAGAAGTGCAAGTATCCACCGAAGGAGGTAATAGCTAACCAGCCGGTAGGCTGTTCTTTGCCACTTCTGGGTGGGCAATGGAAACCAGGTGACGCTAAAATATAACGAAAAATTGACATATCCGACAGTAAACGACGGACTTGAAAAAAAGGATATCGGAAGACGTCAAAGAAATACCACTTTTAGTTCAGAACAACCGTACCAAAAGTACGAGCGGGAGTGTTTGTTTACTGTGTGAAATGTGAGTTGAATTTTGACATACCGTCAGTGAATGCAATCTGTGTTCTGTGAATCGTTCAGATCGAGTAATCGGCAAGAACAAGGTGATCAAAGGTACATGATCCGTCAGTCATGCCCTGTGTCGAGGCAAACTTCTCGTATCCTTTTGCTGTCAACAAGGTCCATACACTACAGTCTTAGATGTTTATCGGGTTTATCGAGCACCCTAATACCCCAACCGAACTAACATCAAAATATGCATTAATTGCAAAGTGGACACATTCAACGACGTCGCGTTGACGATAACTGAAAGCATGGGTGAAACGTTGCACCAAAGCGTCCACGATAGAAGCCACAAGAATCAGTAAAGGAATTCCGCTCTCGTTCACGAATTGGATAATTTGCCGTCGACTGTCAATCCCTGCAAAGCTGAACCGAAACTGTTTCGTACAGAATGTAAGACAGTCACGAATTAGTCTCAGGGGGTTATCTTTTCTCCACCACCACAATTACTAGACTCGCCAAATAGTGTGAGTCAGAGAAGCACGTCAAAAGTAATCTCAAAAAACCTAGATTACAGAAACCACTCGATTTATCTAAGTAAGGTTAACCAATCATCTCGAGATGGTCCGATAGCGAAAGATTTTGCACTGTTCTGTTCTGTTCAAGAATAAGGGTTAAGCAGTGATTATGATCCAGAGTTTGTCAACTTTTTCTGTCACATATTTTTACTTGAGGGTCGAGATGGGTCAACGGTCAGATGGCGAATTTACCGACCGGAAGGCTCGTAGTTCGAACCCGACCTCTGCCTCTCACCTACTCCTGTTTGGGATTGGGCAACCTGGCAATATCCCAGCCCTCGTGCTTCCTTCGGGTGGCATGGCAGCTAGGTACCGAAAGGATGTTACCGCTGCACGATCTGTTTCTTGGGATGCGTGACGAAGAGAAAGTGGAGGTCTTTCTTCGTTTTTCGATCCTCTCCAGAATTCGGCCGTCCAAGTTTTTATCCTTCCTTGGAAGGCCTGAACAGCGTTTGAAAAGTCTATACATACTGAATTTTTGCAAGACAGCATATTTGAATGTCATAACGAGTGTCACCACGCCAATGAGACCACATGGTGCCACCTTTGAATCGTAAACTGTCTTGAACCGTTGTCAGACGCATTAGCATGGAAGAATCTTGTGTGCGTGTTTCAGAGACAGCAAAAACAGATTTTTGGGAAGGAAAGAGGATGATCAAGGAAAGCCCGTTGAAATAGTTGAAAAAGAGTACGGACATAAAACGCTGTCCAGAGTGGACAGATTCCATTGAGTGAGTATCGCATTCCCGGTTTCTATTTCTTAGTAAACGGAGTCATAAATTGAAATATTGAATTTATATACTTAACAACAGGCGACTGTAAGCTGTTCCATAACTGTGCAGACAGAAGTTAGTCCCAGGATATTCAGGCCGAAAGACGGAGTTCAGTTGAAGTACCCTAGTTTGAGAACTGAACTCAAATATCTTATCTACAAAGCAGTGAAAGAAGGAAAAATGTTATTGTGCGTCACTTTCGGCAGCCTCTGACTCCGCAGGCATTGCCTCAAAAAACCCCTAATAGATCACTTCTTAATGACCTGAGGAGGTAAGTACAAATTTACCTTTATGACACCCTACGATACATTCAGGACAGGATGCTGAGTAGCTTCTACACAGTGAATAGTACGAATCAGAGAATGGGCTTCTCTGTTACCTATTTATTGAGTTGGACAATACTGAACATTATCAAGCTATGTATACGGCCTCGTTTAACTGAATCAAGTAAGGAACTGAGTTCGCCTTGCGTTGTCCGATTGATGAAATGTAAGGCAGTCAGCGTTACCCAAACAATAAGCAACAATAAGGAACATCCGCGAGCTCTCGATGTTAGAAAATCGGCATTTGATTCGCGAAAGATCATTTCTGGCGGAAATCAGCGAAGTTCCACTCTGCGTGGGAAATACGCGTCACCGCTGATCAGCCTTCAACTGGGCACCGAAAATGTGAAGTCTTTGGACGGCCTACACCTGAATCGGAAATAATCACTGGATTTCAATACGATTCGGACACCACGGTTTTCCCCTTTGGTTGCAAGGAAAGTCATGCCCGGTTAAATATTATGAGGAGGTACTACTGGAACAAGGATGTCGCTAATGTGAGATTTGAAATTTTCGAGATTCCAGTTCTTTCCTGGGGTTAGGAAGGTGCGGAGCAACACATTCTCACAGAAGACGGAATACAAATGCAGTGAATCCATTTAACCATCAGACCACAATCCGAGTATTCACCACCGAAAGAGATGGAATCCTCGACGTTGCGCTTCTTCACGAAACAATCAGACCAAAATCCAATCAAGCAATGTCCCCAATTTACGGAACAACTCTGCATACTATCGTACCTACTTCACTGCCTTGTAGCCATCGTTGCCCGATAAAATGCCATTAAAAACATGTTCGCAAATCTGTATCAAAATATGAATAAACTGTTGAGGGTCCATAGTTCACTCAGGAAAACCATCCCAATAGGCTCATACTATTGATTAGATCGAGGCCTTAGTTGACAACATCAGTCGTACCTTCGTTTTGACCAGCTTCCGCTTTCCGTGGAACACTCACAAATGTCATCCCGGAGATGACACGATTTGCGCGACAGCCACGGAACGCTACAACCGGTTGGCCGGTCCGAAGACACCACATCACCAGACAGCAGTTGGAATCCACAGAAGCCAAGAGGTGGTTGTCTGGAGATACAGTCAATTCGATAATTTCGGCAACATGACCGCGTAGAGTATGACGCAATGCACAGGGCTTCTTGCTTGCGGCATTGAACGACCAGATTTTGATAGTGTAGTCGTCCGAACCCTGACAAATGGGAAGGAGAGAACCAAATTAAATGGCAAAGATTTGTATATAAAAGCAGGATAACCTTCTACGTCGGGACGATGTGAGTCAACTAATGCACTCTGGCACCTAGACGAAAAGTCAATCCAATTCAAGCAAGATCTTATCTTGCGATTCTTACGTAAGTCGTCCCAAAGAGTTTTGGAATACCCAAAAGTCTTGCGGGTCAAAGAACACAGATACGAACTGACTTACAATCTGACTGAAATCCCTAGCATACGTTTCGTTGTTTGGGGCCTGGTTGTTGCAAATTTACATTCCAATGACCAGGAAGTTCAATTTTTCGCCTTTTCACAAGCCATCGGAGGAAGCGGATCATCACGAATTCAGTCTACACGTTTCCGTACCTCATGGGCCCTGAGTTGACTCATTTTTCTTAATTGTACATCGACCTAGAATCGGCACTTCTGTGCATGTGTGTACAGCGGTACATCGAAGCGATCTTCGTGTAATTCAAAAAGAGTCCTCCCCGATGTTCGAAACACTATGTATGACTGCCAACAGGGATTAAATCAGTCGAATGTCTATTTGCTATCTCTGATTAGTGGCACTACGAATTAAGGTGGTTATGGCATCGTATGGATAGCAGACACTAATTTCATTCTCCCTTAAAAACAACAATATGTTACCAGCAAACGGTGAGGAAGAACTATTCAGGTTAAAATGCTTTGAATTTTTGAAGTGTGAACCAAAGAGAGCGCTATCGTCTGCATACTCAATGGAAAAAGAAGATACTCACGGGCTTCACTTTGCAACTGTTGCTGGCCGAGTGTCTGAAAAATCACTAAATCTCCAGGAGATGGGCCACAGAAACATAGGCAGGCCTCTACCTTGGATGATAGTTATCGTAGTGGTCATCAAGCGGAAAGATACTAATAAGGCATATTGAGATAGTTCGGACTTGTGTTACAGGTACATGTTTTCGATATCTGAAGGCAACTATGATTGCTACGACTGTTCCCCTACAAAGAAACCAATATTCATAACAGGTGGCCACCCGAAGCGATTTTTATCGGTTATGACGTTTCGGAAAAAAGAATAATTGATCAATTCATCCTAGTAGTTGTTTTAAGAGGAAACATGTTGACGTGTACGCTGTAGGAAAGAAGGAAAAATTCAAAGTATTCGAATCAACTCCTAGTTCTGGAACAACATATCATAAGGTCGCGCGCCACAGCTAAACCGAAAAGTCCCACGCCATACAGCTTGCGCGCCAGTTGAGTAGGAATGTTTGAATAATGAATCACCATCTCCATCGAAAGCACATCAGTGTTCAACAATGATACTTCGTTCCCGTAGTTAATAACGAATGGGTAAGTGCTGGATTATTAATATTATGCTGAAACAGCTACCAGTAGACCTTTATTTCCTGTTTACACTCTTAAAGAAACTAAATGCCAAACATCGCCGACATCGTAGCAATGATATCAGTGACATGATACTGATATGATAGATTGTTGGTAATGGCTTAATGCATGCGGCCGTCATGGAAGGGCGGAAAACTGGACAACCCGGAATAGCAGATGCTTCAGAAAAGCTAATAATGTCTTTTTCTTGGAAGACACACAGTACCACAAAAAAATCGCAAGGATTCAAACGTGGACAAAATCTCATTACGTACCGTGAATAGGTATTCCCCTCTTTGGTCAAACTGAAGACAGTATATGGCATTCCGATGAGCCAGACTATGGTGATTGATATGAGTTCGTTGATAAACGGAACAAAGCAGATGCATAGCACATGTTGGTGAAAGACCGCGGACAGACACTGAAACTGTGTAAGTAATTTATACGTATTTACAAACCTGGGATGGAGATTGACCTCTCTTTTGGATCTGCAATGCAATGAGAGCCATAAAAAGCATAATAGGAAGCTTACAGATATAGTTCCCCAGATTGAAAAGGGAAACTACAGGACGGCCGTAAGGATGGTGTACTCTTACAAGCTCCAGTAGCTTAGAAATGTTATTAACAATGGAGAAAGGAGCAACTGGTCCATGAACTGATTCCTGTAGGAGCTCGAATAAGGTATGGACCCGACATAACTCACATAATTCTCAAAGGAGTTGGCGAACCTTCGCCCAAATACATTCGTTCTCGGAGGAAAAAGCTAGGGACTGATACATCGTGATCACAAACTCACCTCCCTCTTAGTAATGACCCTCTTCAAATGCTACGAAACGATGTTACATAAAAATAAAACAACTTACATCGGCTACTTCGGAGCAACCATCGTTCTCAAGAATTTTTGTGACCAAGAATAAAAGTTCTACAACTATTAAGAAAGCACATGAAACGCATACCGGCTTTGATATCACAGTTGTTCATCTGTATTACACTGGAACGCAAAAGCAAAAAAATAAATGCGGGTGGTTTCAGAGGGACCAAAAAAGGTTTGAACGACTGATTGAAGAATGCTATTGCACTGGGAGGACAACAGTTTAATGGCACACGTTATCTGGCGTGAAAAGGCGGCAGGCGGCTTTTAGTGAGGTACTCAAACAATAGGAAGAAAAGGAATGAGTCAACTGCACATCAGTATTCAACACGGTGGCTTCGCTACCGTACAAATAATTTACCTCAAAGCGTTATTGTGAAGTAAAGAATACAGGTGGATGAAAACTCGACTTAGTAATAACCTCCCACACAATCAGACAATGAGAACGCCACTCGCGTCAGTTAGCAGTCACATCAGTCATGAAGACAGTGGAACCTACCGTGGTCTTGCAGCTTGTGTAATTACGCGACCCGATGAGCTTTGCTCGGGGTGTCCCCGCGGCACTCGCAGAATCCCCCATACCAGGATGGTCAATCGCCTCAGGTCTGACGTACACAGTCTCCTGGCCCTTCAGGTTGGTGGTCGGAACATGTATGGCGAAGTGTTCTATAAAAATTGAAATGCGCTAGCATTTTCCACCAGACGCCGCTGGTTTCCGGTCAGGCCTTCGTGCCGAATGCTTTGGTTGACGATCCTAACCGTCCTTCTGTCGAGGTATGCACGTCATGGCACTATCCAAGCCCATTTCACGCATACAAATAAACTCACGCCACATCGGCCGTCGCGTGGTGCCTTCAGCTTGGTCCCCTTACTTGCTGCATACAGCAGGGCAAGTAAGCGAAAACAGGCTACTGCTGACGCCCCCTTCCTTCTCTCTCACACATTTTCTTCCCCCTCTCCCCACTCCATTAATAACTCTCCCCTTGCAGGCCCAGCACTTAGGACTAAGGGCGAGACGGCTCAATTGGTTAGAGCGCGAATTTACTGACCGGAAGGTCCGTGGTTCGAACCCGACCTCTGCCTCTCGACTTCCCCTGCCTAGGCTTGAGCAACTTGGCAGTATCCCAGCCCTCGTGCTTCCTTCAGGTGGCACGGCAGCTAGGCACCGGAAGGGTGCTACAGCTGAACGACTTTAGGACTAAGGACTCTGTTCATGCCGCATCGGTTCTGCAAACATCTGCGCATCATCCGGTGCTGACGTCTTCAGGCACCTCGAAATCAATATTGAAGTCCCGACGCCCAGTCTATCTGGCCGTCTTCAATGTCCGCGCTTTGAAGCAAGCAGGTCAACAGGCTGTCCTTGCTCTCACACTGGACTCGCTTGGCATTGGTACGCGTTGTGTTTCAGAAACGAGAATTCAAGATGCGAGCACATTGGTTGAGCTAGTCGCCCAATCACTCTCCACTGGCTTCCAGCTACGCACCTCTGGTGATCCAGAGGTTGCTTCGGCGGAAAGTGCAGGGGTTGGTATCGTCCTAAGTCACCAGGCGGAAGCATCCTTGCTTGACTGGATACCTGTTGATAGCCGCCTCTGTGCGGTTTGTCTGACGTCTGTGAAGCAGTCCCATAAGCGGGAAGTTGAACGATATTTGTTTATCGTGTCTGCTTACGCCCCAACTGACCGTTGCTCCAACGCCGTCAAAGGCAGGTTTCACGACGCCCGTTGCGGCCAGCTAAAAGCTAGGAGATATCGTTGTGGTTACCGGAGACCTGAATGCACAAGTGGAGAGACTTGGTCCACGTGAGACTCAATTAGGAGGTAGGATTGAATTCAGTCCGTACGGACAATGGGGAACGATTGCTTCAGCTGTGTGCTAATTACAGGGTGTTTTCATGCAGCCAAAGTCATCTGGCCACATGTCCCCAATGGCATGCCGGCCACAAACTCAAGTCGATAACATTGCCATCAGTTACCGACGGCGCGGATCATTAACTGACTGCGGGTGGTTCTTGGAACACATTTATGGATTCCGACCACGCATTCGTCCGGAGTTGTTTCTCCCCATGTTTTCCAGAGCCGCATAAAGTGCGGACAACTCGCTTGGGAACTGACAGACCGGCAGATCCGAATATTAGACGAACTTACGGAATCGCCTTCCAGAGTGCCTTCAAGATGCTTCATCATTGGATGTAAACTCATACTGGGACGAGGTTGCCACCTCTTTGATTAGTGCTGGGAACTTTACCTGTGACGCGGCACCACGAAGCGCACTCAAGCACTGTATATCATACCGAACGGTGGTACTGATTGAATCTCGGAGGAATATCCAAATCTGTCCCAAACGTAACTTGATATGACCAATTATCACACGTCAAGTGAAAGTGAGCGTGCCAGCCGACCATGAAGTCTGATGGACACAGAAAGCCAAGGAAATGGAAGCGGTCCAGAAAACCGGTAATGTTCGAAGATTATTTCAGTTGATCCGTGCAACTGGCCCTCGGAAACTACCTGTGAGCGTAACCATCAAGGATCAGATAGGAGTGCCCATCCTGAATAAAGCAAAACTCTCAGACTGCTGGGGTGAATACTTCGAAAAACGGTTGTTGTGGACACCAGCTGCCACTTTTCTGGAACCCAAAGTTGACGTAGAACCCTGGACGGTGAACATGGAACCCGCCGGCTCGGAAGTTCATGAATGCACATGTTCTCTTAAGCGCCAAAAAGCTCCTGGTCCAGATGAACTCCCACCCACATTGTTCAAAGATGGGGATGAAGTCCCCAGTCAGCGCTTGTGTGATGTTTGCCTGCACTTTGGACGAATCTCAGACGAATCGTCCACTTAAATGGTTATGGGTTTGGTAAATTCCTATCGACCAACAAAACATCAGTAGCGCTTGACGAGAGTTCCAACGCGCTTCACCCGAATGGGAATCGATACCTAAATAAATCTATTTGGGATATATCAATGCATGACGTCGCCCAAAACATCAACCCCTGCGAATAAGACTTGCGCGGGCGGAGCCAGGAGGATTGTGAAGTTCATCCAAGTCAACGCCTGCAGCGCTCAAGGCACGCTACGCCATGAATGTGCAATCATGCTTGGGATACGAGTGCACTCTGGCTTGCCCGTGCACTCACGGAGAAATTAACCAGGTCGGACTTGTTCAGAAGGAAGCTGCATGTTTGGTGGAAAGGGTGAGAGAGGGTGAATATGGAAATCGCCTGGAAACGCTTTACTTTAGTTCCCGAAATTACTGTGGGGCAGTAGGTGACCTAATCACACTGCGTTAGATCTCCCGTCGTGATGAAAAACACTGAAATACCCATGGACTTGCACTACGTAACAAAGATCGGTAAAGGACATTGTTTTGTGCCCCACAAGCACAGTGGGTGCAAGCCGTCAGTTACGGTACAGAAAAGTCAATCCCTACAACTTGTTACCGGTTGAAATGCTATAGGAGTTGAAAGACAACAAGCTTCAGCGCGGAATAAGTAGATAGCTCGGATATATATATCCCGGAAACCCCATATCGACGATATGATTGGGCTCAAACGCATTCCGCCCTACCTTATTTCAACTTGTAAAGTGCACGCTATGGAAGCACAAAGGGACAGT